CAAAACCTTTTTCTGATTATAGAAGATCAGTTGTTTTGTTCCGCTCAACTGAGTGATATTTGCATAGAAATAGAATATCAGTAACGATAGAAAATACATTTGAAATAAACGGAAAACAAGAATAATTATTCACATTTTCAAGTACAACTCAATGAATTTACTGTTAAGAGTGTAGTATTAATTTAAACAGTCCAATAGCTTGATATCGAATTGATATCGGAGTAGATGACCATCTACGTTCATAAATCATTCAGAATTCTCAATACTTACTTATTTACTTACACACGCCTGTTGCCAATCGTGGAGGAGCATGAGCCATACACCAGCATTCTCCATTCAACTTTGTCCTAGGCAATCCTTTCATATTCTTTCCCATTAGCATTCATCCTTTTCATATCTGCTTCTATTTCCCAAAGTAATTTGTTCTTAGGCCTTCCTCTTTTCCGCTTCTCTTCCGAATTCCAAGTTAGGGATTGCCTCGTGATGCGGTTTGGTGATTTTCTCAATGTATGTTCTATCGAATTCCAACGCCTTTTCCTAATTTCCTCTTCAGTTGGAAGCTGGTTTGTCCTCTTCCATAAAACGCTGTTGCTGGTGGTATCCGGTCAGTGAATGTTGAGTATTTTGCGTAGACAACTGCTTATAAATACTTGTACCCTCTTGACAATGGATTTAGTAGTTCTCCACATTTCAGCTCCGTACAGTTGAACTGACTGTCTCAACGTTCGTATTGAAGTTAGTTGACAGTTGTTTTGAATTTCATATGTTCTTCAATTGTAGAAATGCAGTCCTTGCTTTGCCAACCCTAGCCTTTACATCTGCATCCAATCCTCCTTGTTTATCAACGATGCTTCCCAGATACGTGAATGTTTTCACATCTTCCACAGTTTCACCATCAAATGTGATTGGGTTGGTGTTCTCCGTGTTGTATTTGAGAATCTTGCTTTTTCCTTTGTGTATGTTGAAGCCTACTGATGCATAGGCTGCTGCTACATTTGTTGTCTTCGTCTTTATTTTTTCGTGTGTATGAGGAAGGAGGACTAGGTCATCTGCGAAGTCGAAATCGTTCACTTGGTTCTGAGATGTCTATTGTATTGTGTGCTTCCCCTCAGATGTCGATGTCTTCTTAATCCAGTTGTTGTTGTTAGAAGTGATATCAACACCGTGACTTCCGAACATTCTCGGCTTTCATCACGAGGTGTTACAATTCTTACTTCAACTCCTAGGGCAGAGTTTAAATGGTTTGAATTATTTTTTCTGATTAGCGATTTGTTAGCGAGTTAGTTTTCTATGGAACGGGTCGCTAACCCCATGCCAAACCTACCTCCTTTACCCGGACTTGGGACCGGTAGTAACTCTAGAAGAGCTACAGGCGGACATAAGGAAATAAAGAAATAAACAATGTGCAATTAACACCATGTGTATTTAAAACTTCACCGCGTTGCTTAAGCAAGTGACTATCAAGACTCAGTAGCTAAGTGGATTACACAGTAGCGTTTGAAGAGAACTGCACTGGGTTCGAGTCCAACAGTAAACATCAACTATGAAATACAGGTTCACCCAGCTGACGAGTCTCAAATAGGACAAAACATACATCCTGGTTTCTACTACTAACCACTATCGATCTTTTCTTATAAAGCTTGTGACCTAAAGCAATATCGAAGCAGTTCACACAGGGTGTACATAAACTTACAAGAGACTGATCAATCGTAGTCTTAAATAACATTGATAAGATACAGCTAAACAACATCAAGTAAATTTAATACATTGTATATGTTTCAGATAAAGAAAAACAATCTCCGAAGGGGTCGGTTGTCTATTTATTCAGACCATAATCAATTTGTAGTTTTTTATGGGATTCTTGTCTTGTTTTGTCTTATATAGTCTGTTTCTATTGTTATTATCTAATTATACAATCATGACTAAGGTAAATGTTATGTTATCCAGTTGAATATTACTTTTTTGTATACTTGTCTAAGTTAGTTTTCCCCACTGATCCCTTCAAATGATGAAATCTTTTTAAATTTGTAAGAGAGAACAAACCAAATTCCAGCTGAAGAGGAAACGAAGAGAAGATGTTGAAAATGGATAAGCCACACATTGAGGAAATCATTGAACTGCGTCAGAAGGCGAACACTAACTTGGAATCCTGAAAGGAAGTGGAGGGCCAAAGAACACACTGTGTTGGGAAATGGAAGCATACATGAAAAGGATAAATAATAACTGCAAAGTAGTGTGAAGGAATTTCCAGGACGGATTTTGATGGAGTATGCTCATGAGTGGCCAATGCTCCTCCATGAGGGATAATAGGTGTATATATACATATATATAATATTGTTAATCTTTGTAATGCCGACTTTTGAATTTTATTTATTTATTTATTTAAACACATAAATATTGGTACAAAGGGGCACCAAATGTATATGTGCGGCACAAATCTCATTTGATTTATGTGAGGACTGTGATACTACCCAGGTGCCAAGACCGAAGCAAGTGGTGTTCTTAGGGGGCCACACCCGGAGCCTTTGACCTAAAAGTCTGAAGCACAAGGCAGTGGAGCATTGTGAGGAGATGCAGTCTCATGGTATCCGGTGACCAACGATTGATTGTGTTCGTAAGTAGCTGATAGAAAGTCACAATATAAGATGAATTCAGTTGTTAATCTGATTTTATTTAAATAGTTTTATCACAATGAACTACTTATGACAGTTGAGTTTGCTAATCATTTTAATAAATATATTGTGCCAATTCAAATGATTCTATGCTAGTCTACAGTAAAATAAGTACATTATGAAAAGTATATTCCCAACTACGTCACAATGCAATCCCTCACATGGAATCCTGAAGGTCAAAGAATAAGAGGAAGACCAAAGAACACACATTACACCGAGAAATGGAGACAGATATAAGATGAATGAACAAAAATTGGATAGAACTAAAAAAGAAGACCAAGGACAGAGTGAGTTGGAGAAAGCTGGTCAGCGGCCTATGTTCCGTTGGGAGTAACGGGTGTAGGTAAGTAAGTAAGTAAGTATAAAATGTATATTATTATGATTAATATTACTATTGCTATTATCAGAAGGGGTTTTTGTGGAGATTTTAGTAATTTTTTTATATAGTTGAGATCATGAGTCAATTGAAGCTAGACCACTATGGAAAACCTGAAAACACTAGAAGACCCTTTCGTCCTATTGTGGGACTCCTCAGCAATGCGCATCCACGATCCCGCATCGTTAGGTTCGAATTCAGGACCTACCAGTCTCGCGCCAGAACACTTAACCGATAGACCACTATCGCTATTATTACTATTACTGTCATTATTATTACTATCACTAACATTCATTATCATCTTACTATTCTTATCCCTATGACAATACACTTTAAGCCACTTTACATATGAAACATAAAAGTAAGATACGATTGACAGGAAATAAATAAGAGAACAAAATGAAAAAAAATTTTTTCCCCGTTTTTCTTCCTGTAGTGTCTGACAAATGTTAAATCTATTCAAGATTAAATTGAACATGTGAATATGCCAATTATACATTGAATGATTGAATGATTGATTAGTAGACCTTATGTTATAGTTTGTTTCTATGGGACATTATAAAGGAAAACTATAAATAGAAAGATGGTAACAATTGTATTTTAAATAAAGATAAATAATGGTTAGCAATGGAATCGAATTTGATGGAAGTTTCGTCCTATTTGGGACTCGTCAGCTGGAGGTATCTGCACTCCAGGACTCGAACTCAAATGCCATCGTGTTATTCATTAAGTTATTGAGTCTTGATAGTCAGTTGCTTATGCAATGGGGTGACATTTAAATTCACTTGATATTGTTTACTTGAATGTTTCCATTGATGTTTAGGACTGACAGCAATTGATCAGTCTGTTATTGGCCATATGTGAATACTGTACATATTGTCTCGATATTGTATTTAAGTATTGTTTCAATAGATTGATTAGTTATATTTTATGTTATCAAAACATCCATAATGTGACTCCGCAGCAGTGCGCACCCACGATCCCACCTCGCGAGATTCGAACCCAGGACCTAACAGTCTCGACTCTGGGTTGTCCATGATGGTATAGCTTCAATTGATTCATGATTTGAACTATAAAATTTATTCTATGACCAGTATAGGGTGAGATGGGGGATTGTAGGGATCGTAGTTTTTAAACCAGTCAGTAATAATCTTTCACTTCTTTTCTATTGGTCAAATATGCAAATATAGTTTTTTCATACTTGTTGAATAGTAATCCCTTGCAATAATAGATCATCTCTGTTTTCCTGTGATATTGTTGTGTCTCAAATGAAGTCATGAATACTTCATTCGAATGATCTATCGTGTTATATCCTAGTGAAAACGCAAGTACTGGTAACTCCCAGGACCTATTAATGGACTAATATTCTATACATATTCTTATGCTTTAACTATTGAGTAATTAGAGTGTGTATATCAACATTCATCTTATGATAAGCTTCATTTTGACCTAGGGATAATTACTGTACAATTTACTGTCCTTAAGTTATATTCAGTTTATTGATTATCGTCTCCCACGTTCACAGCCACATTTGGCTTGATCTTGTACAAATATTATTTTCTATTTTATGGTGTGATGCGGTCTATCTATCTATCTGGTATATAAACCGAGTATGCTTGAAATAAATGATTCACATCGCAGAAGCTGTAATTGGTGTTCTGGACTCAACTCGTAAGGCTAAGCGGACAAGGGACTAATAATGGCGCTATACTACTCATCCCAGTTGAACGTCATTGATTTGGCACAGTGTTAACATTAGACAAGTTGTATTCTGATTAGCGGATAAGTTACGTGATAAAAGCCGGACATCATATCATAACAAATTGGCAACAGTCTTCTTTCTTTTATTAAATCATAACACAACGGTCATCGTTGAGAGACCTTTTCCTCTATTGTCAACCACAATGAACATCATTCACAAATAATCATAATAATAACATCCGTTTACTTACTTCATAAAGTCGAATAATATTTGGATGATGTAAACTTTCTAAAATCGAGATTTCTTGACTTAACAAACGTCTAGTTGATGTATTCATTTTACTTTTATCCAAAACTTTGATTGCAACACGTTCTTTGATAATTTCCATGAATTCAAGAGAGAAGGAATGTAAAAAAAAATGAGGGGAAAGAAGAAACATTAGTACCATATCGAATGTTACTTATATGATGAAGGTGTAAATGATTGTCAATCTAATTCATTTTTAGATTGGAATATATCTATGGAATTATCAGATAGAGCATTTGTGGAGATTTCAGTAGTTTTATAGATGAAATAATAAATCTGGTTTCAAAACTGGCTTCAAGAGGTATTTCCTGGAGTTCTAGTGAGAAGCAGTGACCAGTGAGGTTCAAACCACGTCTGTTGTGAGATAACAACTCACTGAAGACAATTGGTAAATGATTACTGAATTTCGTGAATTGGTTAAATTTAAACATGAACAACGTTGGATGCCGACCGGTTCAGTGGTCTATCGGCTAAGTACTCTGATGCGAGACTGGTAGGTCCTGGGTTCGAATCTTGCGAGACGGGATTGTGGATGCGCACTGCTGAGGAGTCCCATAATAGGACGAAACGGCCGTCCAGTGTTTCCAGGTTTTCCATGGTGGTCTAGCTTCAATTGACTCATGCTTTAAAACTATGAAAAATACTAAATCTCCACAAAACCCCCTCTGATAATTAAATGAATATTCACATTAGGTACAGGTTGACTAGTAGTAGGAAAAAACTTAAGTTAGTAGATCTCATATAACTGGTTAAACATCTCTTCATTTACATTGGATGAAATGTTTCAGTTTCTCTTTGAACACACATACTTACTGACGCCTATTACTCTTAATAGAACATAGGCTGTCGACCAGCATTCTACAACCTATTCTGTCATGAACCTTCCTTTCCAATTCTATCCAATTCTTTTTCATTCTTCTTATGCCTGTCTCCATTTCTTGGTGTAATGTATTCTTTGATTTTCATCTTTTCCTTCGACCTTTCAGGATTCCATCTGAGGGCTTACCTTGTAATGCAGTTGGGTGACTTCCTCAATGTATGTCCTATCCACTTCCAGCGCTGCTTCCTGATTTCTTCCTCCACTGGATGGAATCTGGTTTGTCCTCTCCCACAGTACGCTGTTACTGAAAATGTCTGGCCAGCGAATGTGGAGTATTTTGAGTAGAGAACTGTTAATAAACAGCTGTATCTCCTGGGTGATGGCTTTCGTAGTTCTCCAGGTTCCCGCCCCATACAGTAGAACTGTCTTGATATTTGTTTTAAAAATTTTGATCTTGGTGTTGGTTGACAATTGTTTTGAGTTCCAGAAGTTTTTCAATTGTAGATTTACTACTCTTCCTTTGCCTATCCGCACCTTCACATCTGTATCAGATCCACCGTGTTCATCGATGATGCTGTCCAGATATATAAAAGTTTTTACATCCTTCAAAGCTTCTCTGTGAAGTGTGATTCGATCGATGCATGTTATGTTGTATTAGAGAGTCTTGCTTTTCCCTTTGTTTATATTGATACCTACAAGTGCTGAGACTGCTGCTACACCGCTCATCTTCTCCTGCATTTATTGTTGCTTATGTATGTGTAGTAAAAGTACTGGTGACCTGGATATCTTTTAATACTTCACATATTTGTATTACAATATATCACCTCAAAAAATGAGATTTTTCTTTTGTATCTAAAATTACTGATCCATTTTAACTTAAAGTACAACTTCATTGTGCTTTACTTTTACAAAAAATTACAAAATTCAACCTTTAAAGTATCAAATATTTGAATCAGAATTTAGTGATTCATTTTATTTATTGTTACCTGAACACAAGTTAATATCATAAATGGATCAATGATTGATAAACAATAAAAACCTGGATGTACTAGATGACCGTTTCGTCTTAGTATATTACTTGTTAGCAGTGCGTACCCACATGCAAGATTCGAACCCAAGACCTATGGTCTCGCACACAAACGCACAATCTCTAAACCACTCAGTCGGACGGTATTCAATGGTGTTAATTTGTAACTTCAATCAATCCACGATATTGCGTGACTATTTTCCATTGTCTTTGGTGGGTAACTGCTAAAAAATTGACACGGTTTGGACTCCACTGATCATAACTTCTCATTAGAACTTCGAAAATTACCTCTCGAATCTAGTCAATAATAAGTACATGGTAACTATCAGTAGGGGGGTTGTGAGGATTGCTTAGCTTTTGATTGAGATGATGGATCGATCAATGTTAGACTATCGTTGCAAACCTCGTTGTTTCTTCCTAGTATGATGCTCTTAAGCAGTTCGCATCCACGATCATATAGCACAGGATTCGAACACAGGACCTTCGGTCTCGCATGCGAATGCACAATATGTAAACCACTGAGTCGGCATTCGATGGTGTTAGTATCTAACTTCAACCAATCCACGAAATTGTGAAACCATACTGGGGAAAAACGACCTTCCAGTACTTTTAGGTTTTCAATGGTAGTCTAACAATGATCGATTCATTATCTTAATCAAACTAATAGTGTTCAATTACAGAAAGGAATAGATATAAGACAGTTTTTATCATTAATTAGAACCAAAGACTATAATTCATTTCATTATTAAACTCTCACTAAGTTAACGTGGAAGGTAGACGTCATTCTGTCTAACTGTTAGATATCAGCCACTGATGAGAATTATCAGGTTAATCATATTGACTGGATTGTACTTCGAAAATATTAATATTATTGATTCATTGAGTAAAATGAAGTTGTGATTGTTTGTTGAATCTATTCCTTTGTTGTGATCCTGAATCTGACTTCAATTAGATCGTATAAATGATTGTTGTCAAAACTATACATACTGGTTATCCTCGTATATAGCTATCGACTTAACTCTCCTCAGTGAATAACCGAATTACGTATATTTTGTATAATCATTGATCCAGATGATCAAAGGAACGAAGCAAAACGAAATGATGCTCAGTGGATAAGACATATGAACCAACTCCATTTAATCAAGCGTTAATCGATATTTATAGTCATACAAGAATATTCAGAAGGGGTTTTGTGGAAATTTCAGTATTTTCATATTTGAAATCATGAGTCCATTGAAGCTAGACCACAATGGAAAACCTAGACGGCCGTTTCGTCCCATTATGGGACTCCTCAGTAGTGCATATCCACGATCCCGCACTCGCCAGATTCGAACACACGACCTACCAGTCTCGCGCCAGAACACTTAACCGATAGACCACTGAGCCGGCTGGCATCCAACAGTGTTAATGTCTTACTTCAACCAATCCACGAAGCCGAGACACCCTTCACCAATTGTCTTCAGTGAGTTGTAATCTCATAACAGACTTGGTTGAACTCCACTGGTCACTGCTTCAATTGACTCATGATTTCAAACATATAAGAATAAGTTAGAGACATGTAATGAGTAGAATAAGAAGTGCACACTTATAGGCCCATATAAAACCGTCAAAGTTGATAAGAGAATAATGATGAAGGTCAAAACATAACTCAAGAAGAATGAATGAATGAATTGACCTAACCAGAAGCTAGAATAACTTGTATGGGCTTAACATAGTAACCGGCATCACACCAGTTATTTTCACCAGATATCAATTATTGAAAACAAGAAAGAAAGTACATAACACAGATATTTACAGAAATACTTGTTTTATCTGGTATGCCTTAACTTGGAATCCGAAAGGGAGGTGGAAAAGAAGAAAGACAAAAAAAAACACATTACGCAAGGAAATAGAAGTAGATAGGAAAAGGATGAATGTTAACTGGAAAGAACTGGAAAGAATTGTTCAAGACAGGGTTGGATTGAGAATACTGGTGTGCGGTCTATGCTCCTTCACGAGGGATAACAGGCGTAAGTAAGTAAGTAACTTGTCTTATCTATTATAAAGTAAACCTCTAAGAATGTAAGTTTTATAATAAAAATTCAACTTTGATAAGATGAACTTGCCAAAAATAGTTTATGATAGAAATATCTGTATCATATAGTAACTTTCAATCTGTGTATCATATTAAAATTATGACCACGTATGTATAAATATGTCCATCACAAACTGAACAACTAAATAACTGGAATTAAGGGTTAATAAGTTGAAATACTACTACCCTATATATTCATTTGGTATTGTTTGTTTGAATCTTTCTATTGGTATTTAAAACTACAATTGATCAGTTTGAAGCGAACGGAAACTGAGTTCGAGTCCCAGACTGAACATCAACTCTGAGATCCAGGCACATGCAGCTGACGAGTCCCTAATTGGACAAAACGCACGTACAACTGGATTCCATCACTGACCACTATCCATCTGGGCTTAGGATGCTTGTGAATTAAGGTAATATGGAGACAATATTCACAGTATGAAGATATGCTGATAAAAGAATGATCAATTGTAGTCGTAAACATCAATGGGAAGATTCAGACAAACAATATCAAGTGAACTTAAACTTCACTGCATTGCAAAAGCAAATGGCTATCATGACTCAGTAGATGAGTGGATAACGCAATCGCGTTTATAGCGAACTGTACTGAGTTCGAAATCTACAGTGGAAATCAAATGTAAGATTCAGGTAGATCCAGTGGATAAATCCGAAATAAGACGAAACGCTCTTCAAACTCGATTCCATTGTTTACCAGTATGAATTTTTGCTTTTAATCCACCTTCAAGCTATTGTTTATTTTATATTCCTGAATAATTCTTACTTCTTTTACTATATCATTATACATAATCTTTCTTTTATATATTACTACTATTGAAGTAACTATTTCTATGAAATCGGTGTTCATCTTGTTGTGCTAATGAGGTATGGCAACTTGGACCGATACATATATGTACCTGACGCTACATTGTAACTAACTGACTGAGAATTACATTACTGAATGATTTCAGTTAGACATGTGAAAAACTGTAAAACTCTTGGTAGCTATTTCATCATTGTATAGTACCCTTTAGTATTCTACACTTTATAACCTAAATAGAAACTATGTCTATTGAATTCATGCTTATCATGCTTAATGCTTCAATTTCATATGATTTAATAAACATTCTGCTTTGATATGATGATCT